ATTTTTGTCTTATGTCTGGCAACTGTTCACTGGATAAAGAAAATGTGATATACATGTATATATACTTATACACATGTGTGTATATGCATATATATATATACACGAACACACACACACATATAAATATATATAAAATAGAATCCTGTCTTTTGCCAACAAAATGTATGCAAAACTGGGGACCATTAAGCTTAGGAAAGAAGAGAGATTGCCTTTTCAAAATCTTCATATTGGCTTAGTTTTCCTTTTTGTTTTCTCATTCTATTTTATGAGCTCTCTGCATAGCAAGAACAAAAACTTTTAAGTTATATGGATTGTATTTTGCTTAGCTGATTTTGTTTAAACGCTTTTTATAGTATTTTTCAGGTTTTATTTTACATCAGAAAGACCTATTATTATTTTTTAGAACTATTATTTTTAATATCAGGAATAACAAATACATTTGGATCTCTATATTGTATTTTTCTTAAATTGAATGTAAGACTTATAAAATTCAATTATACTTGATATGTTGGCTTTATTAATTTGGTGCTACTTGTAATTTGGTGTTACTTGTGTTTGAATTATGTTTTTTGAGAACAGAAACATAAAATTAATGTTTGCTATTTCTCCTCAATGATATTTTCTCTGAGTCTATGTCACCACAAAAAAGCAGAAATTTGCCAGTTTAAAAGAACCTTACCTAAAATTTGGAAATTCGAAACAATAAAAGTATTGGTCTTACTTTCTCATTTATTATGAGAACTTATATATCATAAGTTAAAAAAACATTTTCTTGTTTGATTTTATTGGCTTCTGGGAAGCTCCCTGTTGAGTTAGATATCATTACAGTACAATGATCTGTATTCACAGTGATAATATTTTAATGATAATATATGTATTTTGTGAAAATACTAAGGCTATAAGAAAGTGAAATAAGTTTTTTTTTCTGATAAAATCACAGAATCAATATGTATATGGCATGATCAAGATTTGAATTCCAGTTTTTTGAGGACAAACTTTTATTCTATTTAATTCTACCATACACTAAGTTTTTATTTTTCAGCATAGTAGAAACGAAAAGTTGGAGTTGCCCACAGCCTATGGAACTATATCATAAAATAATAAAATAAAATAAACAAATAATTTTTAAAAACCCTGTAAAGTACGAGCTGAATTTAAATCATTGGTAGATAAGCCAATCCTTCAGGTGAAGAAGAGGTATTTTCACCACACCTACACAAGGAGTGTTGTTGGAGAAGCAGAAGTTCGATGCATTTTGTGGACTTAAAGCTAAGTTAGAATACATTCTACTGTTATTTTGGTGTTGCTATTTTAGCCAAAGAGATGAGGGCAATTCTCAAGCCAAGTTTCATAGTGCTGAGAACCTGCAGGGTCATTTTGTTGAAGAATCCCTCCATGGGCCTAATTACCGGAGGAAGGAAGGAAGCAAACATGAGCATTCCCTGGGGAACCTGTTCTTGCATTCAGACTTCCTCTCCAGCACCAAGTTATCAGAAACAGATTTTCCAAAGTGTCCATATTACATCTGATATCAAGGGCCGTTAAAAAAGCAAGCAGCATCTGATACAAGGAACACTCTTAAGAGAGGTCAGAATCCACATGGTCACCAGAGAGGTGAAATGAAGTCCTTCTCTCTGGTTGGCATCTTAGAGAGTAGATACCCATTTCCCAAAAGATACCTAAGACTCAGAATCTTAGCACAATAAAACTTCTGTCTGATGCTCCATTTGCTCTTACTTCTTGTTCCCCAACCCCAGAGGGATCTTCTTGATTCATTTCACTCATGAACTTTAAGGCACATTCTAAAACAAAATTCTACATGACCATGTTTATTTCTTCTCTTGAAAACCAGAGCTTTTTTAGCATAAAGGAAGGCAAGATCAGAGGAGGCGTATTTGGTGCATAATGAAAATGAAAATTCTGTTTTCTCCATTCACTACAGTTTGAGTTGCTAATCAGGTATCAGCATAGTTTCAACTAGGAGGCATTTGCACCTACATTTTCCTCTGTCTATGCCTATCCAATATCAATTCATCATTGACTCTTTACACAACCCAAATCTCTCCTTGCTACTTCTGAGTGCATTTCATCATGTTCTTTTTAGCAGGTTCATGGCTCACTTTTTAATACCCAAGAGGTCACTTCTGCTCTGAAGCTTCATAGTAGTTGAGAGGAATTCTGAGAAGAGTTGCCAGATTTGATAAATAACTTCAGATAAATAAGGAATTCAATTATGCTGCATAATACATTTTGGTCAATGATGTGCAGAATGTATACCGGTGGTTCCGTAACACTGTAATGGAGCCAGTTTCTATGCCTGGTGACACTGTACTCATCACAACATCACAGGGCATTGCATTTATTCATATTCCTTGTGGTGAAGTTGGTATAGACAAACTCACTGCACTGTCAAGCATGTGAAACACAGCTCACATAGGCACACTCAGTGCACAGTTTACTGTGACAGTACGTATTGTTACAGCTGTAGCAGCTTCAGACACCTGATGGGTGTTATGTGCCTTGATGGCATCAAGAGGTTGCATGGCATGAGGGATCTGCACCCCATGCTGTGTAAGTATAACCTCCAGTGTCTACACGATGTGATTGCCTAATGAAATGCTTCTCAGAACATACTCTCATCATTAAGTGATACGTGACTATAATCTTTCAGTACAGATTACGTACTGCGTATTTACTTTTGAGAGATACTTTTGCTATCTGGCAATATCATTCTAAAATTCTTAAAAATAAGTTTCACTTAATAATGATGGCTATATCTGAAATTCCAATTTAACAGAATTTTTATATTTTTATCTGGCAATCCTAAGGCCAATTTTCTGCTTCTACAGAGAACAGATCTGGATGGTGTTGGAGAAAGTTGCTCGCTGTTTAAGCTTTTACAGTAAGTAGAGTAGATTAGCAATCTTTCTCCATTATAAATGCCACAGAAAGAGATATAGGTTCAAATGTACGTATTCTCTCAGGGTGGACACACTCTGGCACCTCAGAATCCGGGTGGATAGTAAGATGAATATTAAGAGAGATCTTTTAAATAGTGTTTTCTAAATCATTTCTTGAAGCTTCCTCTGAAGGCATGTATTTTAATTTGTTACTCCTTTTGTGATTCCTCCCACAGGTGATTTTAAAAATCATAATTCTATAAATCTAATCACTAACTTCCCAGGCCTATTTAAGTATTGACATTTTATGTTTGCAAGTTTTTATGAGATGTAGGATAATATAAAGATAAATCAAATATAATTGCCACTGAAATCTATAAAAATTGAAATAAAGGGCTCTCCAAAGCATTAAACTGAACACAAATCTAGTACAATATCAATAAATAATACCTGACGACTCCACAAGTTAGCTATAACTAATATTAGCTAGAGTTCTAATGACTCATATATATATATATATTTTAAATCCAGTCATGGGGCTGGCACCCTGGTGAGGCAGGTAAAGTTGCTGCTTGCTGAATCAGCATCATATATGAGCGCTGTTCCAGTGTCAGCACCTGCACTTGTGATTCAGCTTTGTGCTAATGTGCCTAGAAAAACAGGGGAGGATGGTCTAGGTGATCGGACCCCTTCCATTCACACGGGAAATCTGGAGGAGCTCCTAGCCCCTGGTTCCTGGCTCTGCACTGGCCCAGCTCTTTCTGTTGTGGCCACTTAGGGAGTGTACAAGTAGATGGAAGATTCCCATTTTTTCCCTCTTTTTGTAATTTTGTCTCTCAAAGAAAAAAAAAACTGAAAAAGATCTAGTTATGACTATCAAACCGTAACCCTATTAGATCTGAAAATAATCTCATCATAAGCCTGAAATAGTAAGGTTAACAATTTCAAACAGTTGAATGACCCTTGATAAAGTCTATCACCAGATTTCTTAGCTATAATGCCATCTATTGCCCTTACATTTTTAGAAATAAGAATTTAAGTCCTACAATGAAATCAATTTTCTCATTTTTATAATATGACATGGCTTGGTCTTAGAATGGGTAAAAAGGGGATATGTAATAGTTTTGTTTCCACTTTCCTCCAAACTCTCTAACACTATAGTAGGTTAACGAAGGAGGCCAATCTTGTTCTTAATGCTGAGCTGTGACAGCTAATTTTGTTTCCCTTGTATCTAGATTGGTTTTGAGTTTCTCTGTCAGTGAAGTAGCTTTGAGATAATTTCACAAGAAGACAAACAAAACAAAAACACCTTTTTTACTTCTTCCCAGGCCTCTTAAAATGCTATTTTTGGTATAATGAAAACCAGAGAGGCTGGGTGGCATGTGGCTTGTTCTAGTAGAGCTAAACCTTCTAGTCATTTCCCCTTGGGCAAATGTGAGGGAAGCCATCTTATGCCTTCCAGCCAAGCCCATCTGCCAGCTGAACCCTACCAAGAGAGTTCTGTCAATGCCATGGAAAACAGAACAGCCCAGCCAAATCCTGCTTGGATTCAACACCATGAACTCCTGGCATAACAGAATGATTATTTTGTACTACTCAAATTTGGAGTATATGACTAAGCAGCAGTAGGTAACCAGGAAAACTACACAATGCTGAGTGATGTGCTGATAGCTGATTAGAATCAAGCAGAAGGAAAGAAGTCTAGATTGACTCGAAAAGGTAAGAGGGGGACACAAAAAACAGTCAAGAAATGATATGGACATCAATAAGAGAGGAGCTAGGAATTCAGGGGTCATACAGCTAGTTTTGAAAAAAAAACCCTAAATCCACAAACATGTGGCAGGCTGCTACCATGACTTTGGACAAACCCACAACTTTGGCCAACTTCTTTAGAAATTCAGGGAGAAAACAGCAGTGAAGTTTCACCTCAGGCCGGTACTATAAACAGTAATGAATCAACATGATAAATAACAGTTTCCAAGAATGAAAAGGTGGTACATATAAAAAGCAGTTTGTACTTATGAAAGATCCATCATGCGATTTCAAAGTCATTGTCATGGGAGAAGGTAACATTGAAAATGCACACCAATTTTTATTTTCTGTACTTTTATTGAAAAGGTACATTTAAAAAAATACACAGACATTTTACCATTTACAGATTGCAGATAAAGATGCTCTAAAAGTGTTCACTCTATTTTGTTGATTTACGATACCTCTTGCCCCCGGATATCACAAACATTCCAGTTTTGTTGATATCAGCTTAGAAAGGGGGGCATAAGAGCATGGCCTGCAACAGACTCAGTGAACAGAAAGACAAATTGTTCAATTATAAATTTTTTTTATCTTCTGTACATTATTGCATTAGGGAGCCACAAAATTATGTAGCATCATTACAAATGAAAACAGGTTAAAAATGAAGATAATTACATAGAAATACATGAATTCATTGTCTTCTTGCAGAATGCACAAGAGGTGCAAAAATGTGCAATTTAGGAAGCTCTGTTTCTGTTTGTATACGTTTGCTTAGCAACTCAAACTGGTAAGGAAGCTACAAAATAAGTTAAAGAAAAAATAGCACATAGGTAGTAATTATAGCTATGTCATATGGCTTTCTATTTTGTTTAAATATCTCCAAATAAAGTGTGAAATAAAGAAAATACATATCTTTTGTTCTCTTCAAGAGAAAATGCAAAACTACTTTGCTTCCTAACATTTACACAGCAACTAAAAATGTTGAAATCAGACAAGAAATACAGGTCTAGTACTACACAGGATACAACAGTACTCGGGTCTAAAACAGTACACAATCCCTGTCAACAAGAGCACACCAGAACGAAGATGTTGTGATCCATTAGTGAGATGGTATTCACAAGTCAGCACTTGTGTTCATCAATTTTTGTTCCACGCTAGGAGATGCTCACCCACTTGGATTCCAGAGTTATTTACAGACATCAAGGAAGATCCTAGTTTTCAAGTCTGTCAGGAAAATATTCCATATTGTTTCAAAGCCAGATCATGCCCCGTGAAAAAAAAGAATTTTTTGTTGTTGTTGTTGCTCTGACCAATACATTTTCAAGAAACCAAATGTCTCAGATACACAATTTGAATGGAGCTGGGGCCAGAAACAGGGAGATAGACTATGTTGCTCAGATTTCCTAAATGACAGGCAAGGACCACAAAAACACGCTTGAATCTAGGGATCTGTTCTTTGGAGCTGGGGCTTGGGGTGGTGTGTGGTGCAATGCGGGTAGCTGGGGGTACTTACTGCACACAAAATGCCTAAACTGCTGAATCCTTTTGGCTTTCCTTTTCAGCCTCCCTACTGGCCTCAATCATCTTGGGACTTGCAGACATCAGTAGGGAGCAAAGAGGATGGAGGCTGGAGTGGCACGGATGGGCCCGTGCCCAGGCCTCAGGAGAGCAGGAGGGATGGCTGGAGCCTGGAAGAGCGAGGCAGAAGGCCTGGGAGGAAGTGACAGTGCCGAGGACACAGCCGCAGCTGCCGCCAGGGGCGAGGACAGGAAGGCAGGGGCCAGAGGCTTCATCATATCTTTCTGGAATGCAAGTTTTGCCTGATGGATGGAGCACATCAGGAGTGGGGTGGTTAGACTTTCACATCAGTACAAAACACCTTCCAGTAAAAAAATAAAAAATCCCCCCAAACCCCTTCACTCTCACAAGGCAAGAATTGTTTGTTTTCACAGAACAATGTATGTGAATGTTCTGTGGGCATAACTTTCTTTCGATTTGTTTTTCTTCCCAGCCCTGATCTGGTGGCCTTCGCTGCTGGGGAACTGGGCAGAGGAAAGTCTCTCTGGGTAGATACTAAAGTGATTTTACAGTTGCTGCCCAGAAGGAAGTAAACATCTTCAGAAAGTGCTCGCTAAGGCAAGGGAGTTCCACCAATGTTCACACTTGTCTTCAACCACCAGACAGCCTGGGGAGTATGCTGCCTTGCTTTGACCGGACCCTGCCCTTCCCTCAGCTTTGCTGCACTAAGGTTAGGCACGCAGCGGCTCAGCATCTAACAGTCCAATCAAGTGACAATATAAGCAGGGTCAATTTACACCACTGTGGCTGGCCACTTCATCCTTAAAATATCACATCCAAATCAAGTTTCTGATGAGAAAATGTCTTTTGAAAGCCACCACAGGCAATCGGCAGGAGCTTTGCCAACTGGCTCTGCTTAAGGCAGGCAGCACCTGCTTGTGGCCCCAGGTGAAGGCTTTGGAGAAGCCAGAAGGTAAGCTCAGTGGACAATCCCTGCTTCATCCTCAGACTGAACCCTGCCCTGGGAAAAGTCCTAGGAAACTGAAATCCATCCACCTGACTATTTTCCCGATACCTATTGTTGGAGCCCTAAGGTATGTTTGCAAAGAAACATAATACAGTGCTACTGAGGGCCTCTGAGAACCGGCTGATGACCGACATGAGTGCCAGAATGGAACAACAGAGTAACGTAAACAATCAATATGCTCTCTTGCAATAACATACAGAAAAAGTGGCAGAAAACAGGGAGACACTGTCGATGGATCTTTTCTCTAACAAAAGTGATCCCATTTCCCGGCTCAACATGATTTAGAATTCCTCAGGCATTTGTCACAGTTTCCTAGCCTTTCCTTTCTGTCCTAAAGGGGGTTTGGTGAGGTCTTGATACAGAGTAAATTATTAGCTCTGAAAGAGATTCAGTTTCTCTTTTCCAGGGAGCTTTATTCAAGCTGCCATACAGCAGGAGGCAGGCAATGCATGCTGGAACTTCTGTCTATGGGGCTATTTAAATTCCAAACTTGCAGCAGCATCGATCCCTTCCTTCTCACCCACAGTTGCTGCCCTGTTCTGTAACGATGCCCCACAAAACAGGAGAGCAGGTGCTGCGGACTTACTGCTAGAATGCTTGGGCTCCGCTGCAGTTTGTTGTAAGGGCTGTATTTCGGCTTCAACGGCTTCCCTGCAACTCGATCTTTATGCCTTCGGCTAGAAATGTGCTGAAAGAGGTTGGAGCGTATTAGCCGAGTCCCCGTAGGATGCATTTTCTAGAGGTAGCTGGCTCTTCATTCTCAGCTCGAGGCCCATACTTCCCAGACGCATTGGGATAAAACCATCACCCTAAGACTTGCTCTCCCCAGGCCCTCTCCCATCTCTGTGGCCTCGCTAATTTGGCCGGGTGTGAACACTGTAATTGGCAAGTCTGTCTCCCCAGACAGGTTTGGAAGAATAGCTTAACACTTCAAGGAGCATACGAGACGCCTCTGTTCCATGGAAGCTCCAGGTGACTGTTGTGTTTAGCCCTCTATCTGTAAAAATGGCCTGCAACCAGGCATTTAGTATAATAATTTTTTTCTCTTCCATAGAAGTCATGTGTTGCATATGTGAAGCATCCCATAAAGCTTAGCAAGCATCATCTTGAGTATAGTGAGAACTATTCCACAGATGACAAGATACACAATCCAGGGCTGACCCCTAAAAACACTGAACATTAATGCACAAGGTTGCATTACCTGTTTGAGTTGAATTTCTGAATTAACATGAACATCACAGATTTCACAATGAAATGTCTTGTTCTGTAGTCCTGAGCCCTTACTGCCATTCTGCATCTTTAATCGTGATCCGGGTCTAGGGTAGGACTTAATTGGACCAGCCCCATTGCGTGCCTCAACCATGGTCTTGTGTTTAGATCCTGCAGTAGGAAGAGATATTTATTTATTATTTTTTTAAAGATTTATTTTATTTTTATCACAAAATCAGATATACAGAGAGAGGGAGAGACAGAGGGGAAGATCTTCCGTCCGGTGATTCACTCCCCAAATGACCACAGCAGCTGGTGCCGCACCAATCTGAAGCCAGCAGCTAGGAACTTCTTCCAGGTCTCCCACATGGGTGCAGGGTCCCAAGGCTTTTGGTTGTCCTCAACTGCTTTTCCACAGGCAGGGAGCTGGATGGGAAGCGGGGCTGCTGGGATTAGAACCAGTGCCCATATGGGATCCCTGAGCACCCAAGGCAAGAACTCTAGCTGCTAGGCCACTGCGCTGGGCCAAGGAAGAGCCGTTTTTTATACAGCTATTTAGGAATGATATGGAGCTGTGTTTTCCCAGTTTTTCCTCATACTGAAGTTCCTAATTTTTAAAGAAAACACTATAATGTGGATTATCAATTTTGTATATTTTTATTATAAAAATGGAAAACCATAACAACATATAGCAAAGAAAATATGAAAAATATACATAGGCTTGAGAAAATAAAGATGATTCATATATTCACTGCTTGATGGTAATTACTGTTATCTTTTTAGTATATTTATTTTCAAGTTCTTTCTTATGTGTGTTAATATTTTCAAACTGAATCACAAAAAGTGTCTTGAAAATTTTACATATCAGATCATGTACATATTTTCTTACCATTACATTAGTGTCTGAGTAATTAGTGTCTGTAATATGCTATTACATTGGGTTAATATACTTGGTTCATTATTTTCTTTAATGAAGTTTTATGCTATTTCCGTGACTTTTTTTTTCCCTCTTGAAATTGTGTTGCAGCAAACACTGTGCTTAAATATTTGTTTTCATCTCTGGCATTTTAACCAAATATGATTTAGAGATATTAGATGTTTTTGGGGCAATAAAGATTAGGAAAATATGTACCTCCAACGTGCTTTTGCCTTGCTGCAAGAATTTCTGAAATCATTCTGATCATACTTTTCTAAAAATCACATCTTTGTAATAAAACAGTAGAGAAGACATTGAACAAAACTAATGAAACTGTAAATGTCAAGGTGTTCTAGCGGAAGAAGTTCAATTATGTTATAAACATTGTTTAAATTCAAAGAATAGCTGCTTACCTGTGTTGTGTGCCTCTAGCTGTGACAGGGAGTTCACAGCCACTTTGCATAGTGAACAATAAAGTAATTTTTTGGCTTTTTCTTCTTCTGACTCAGTAACAGTACCAGGAGCTCCATTTGTGCTCTTGGAAGGAGAGGTGGCTGCTCCAGGTGGCAGGGCTGTGGCGCCAGATTTGAGGAGATATGAGCCACTTTCAGAGCTTGATGGCTGACTGGAACTACTGCCTTTTAACTTTCCTTTATCTTCTAAGAGAAGCATATAAAAATGTTAGTATAGCCTCATGCGTCACATAAACATAGAGAGATAACCATACAGAAATTAAAAATAGATTCAATATGCAGTCTGTACTCCAGTACAGATTTTGTGGAGCTTGATTTAAAAAATTTCAAGACATTAGTTTCTGTAATAGGATACTCGAATATCAGGATGACTTATGAAAAATGATTTTGTTCTCCATCTTGGAGCAAATAACTTTTTGTCTGATACCCTTGAGTTGTAAATTATTTTCCAGGGAAATCTTTAACATAATGAACCAGCTACCCACCAATATTTTCATGGGTATGATGGTAACATGAAAGAAGTCATTAGGCATTGTTAATTTCATTTGATACATTTTAATTCTGACAGATATAAGATCATATTTGTACCAAGTTAAGATATTTTTTAAAAATCTATTTGAAAGAGCTTGAGAGAGCAAGCAAGCTTGTGCAAGCAAGGGGGAGAGACAGACTCAAGAGACAGAGAAGTCTTCTATCCACTACTTCACTCTCCAAATGGCTTCAACAACTGGGGCTGGAAGGAACTGTTTCTGGTAGTCTTACTTAGGCGACAGAGGCCTAAGCAGTTGAGTCATTTTCCACTGCTTTCTCTGATGCAACAGTAAGGAGCCAGGTCAGAAGTGGAGCAGTTATGACTCAAACCAGCATCCATATAAAATGCTGGAGCTGCAGGCCATTGCTTTACCTACTATGGCCCCAAGTTAAGATTTTAATTTTAGGTTGTGGATAGTGGGGAAGTCAGACACATGGGTAATTTTGGTTATAATTAGTTAGGTTTTGCTGCTCTTTGGCAGTACAATTTACTCAAAAGATGAGTTAAGGATTCCATTCATTGTGCTTATTAATTACTGCCAGTCTAAATCAAAAGTTTTAAATCATGGCATTATTCACAAGCATAATATAAAGAAAGTTAAATCAATGAAGGACATGTTGGCATTTTTGCCCATGCAGCTACTAAATGTTTGTAATCCTCAAGGTCTATGTGCAGGATATGAGGGGTGAGAATGACTTTAACAGAATTTAACTCACTGGAGTTCATTTACTATTCCAGACAGCCATGTTCAGGGACTCCTTTGGGAAAGAAACTAGAGGTCTATAGCCAAGAACAAAGTCTTTTCACAAGTTTAATCCTCATAGGATTGGCACTCTTGGAAAATGTCTATAGAAATGTTGATTAACACTCATTAAGATAGAGGAGGAGAATCCAAATATATCCTTGTTAACTGTCCTAACTATTCTGTAATTATATATATTGCCCTAGGTGACCAAGAGAGAAGGAATGACAAGAGAAGATCAATGCAGTGTTTCTGTTATATAACTCTGCATATGAGCAAACCAAAGCCTTCAGGAATCACAAAAATGGAAGAGGATCCTATTTCTTTTGAGATATAAAACAAAGCATAATTGAATTTTGGGATCAGCAATCTCTGAGAGTTTTATCTATGCAGGCTGAGACTGGCCAAGCAGGAGAGTGAAAGCAACTCCTCTTGAGTGTTGCTGGGAACAGGTGAATGCTACAATCTTTTCTTCTCCTTGATTTCACATTCTATACTTCTTTTCAGCAAGTAGATGAACATTTCAGGTAGCCATGAAATATTATTTTAAAAGAAGGTCTTAGGCTATTATTAAACTGATTTCAATACATAAGAGGAGATAAATTAATTTTTCTTAATTGACAATAGCAAATTGCATCGGAGATTAGGTTCAGAACTCTTCCATCTATAAGGATTTCTCACACTGAATACATAATCCTATACAACCAGTAAATGTTGAAAAATATGTTAACTGCTGACAATGTTTTAGATGTACAAGAAAGTACTAAATAAAGGAGGTAAGGATTTTAAGAAAGTTACAGTTTAGCAGAGGAAATTACATCGTTATTCAGGGACCTCTAATTTATGGAAGAAATGGCAAGAGGCAGGGGAGCATGAAGCAAAAGGTGATGACCTCTGCTTCAGAAGAGACATATTTTTCATTAAGCAGTGGCATTTGGAAGGTTTTGAATGACAGAAGTGGATCAGCACAGAAGGAGAAAGGGAGTGGAAAGTGAGCAGTGAGAAGCAGCAGCAAGAGATGCTTAGGACTTAGAAACCTGTGAGTTGTCTTGGTGAGAACCAGATGGCTGAGCACAGAGCGGGCCACAAGTGCAGCAGTCAACTGGGCCAGCGGCAGAGGAAATCACACTATTAAAACACACAGTCAGGGTAGACACTTCCCTTTTAAAATATATTGAGAGGAGTAATGTGCTGAATAAATGCACGACTGAAAATTTAGGCTAAATTGTATTTTAATCCACTGTCCCTACCCTCTACACAGGCAGAGTCAATCGTGAAAACTAAAGCCAAACATTATGTGTAAAATCACATCCAGGGAGTGATTGATACCAGCTAGTCAGTTGAACACATCCTAAAACCAAGCGTATCACTGGTGCATTCATCTACTCGAATTGTGGCATTTCTTCTGGATGTATAAATGTACAAATATCAAAATCTATTTTCTTTTCAACTCAACTGCTTCATATTTTAAATGAAAACCAGTGTATTGTTTCTTTTTCTTTACTGGCATTTAAAAAATTCTTTTTATTTGTGTATTTGGAAGTTTAATTAATGAATGTTTACTTCTGTTTCTTTTAATAAAGATGCTTGTCATCTGGAATGTCTAGTCAATACACATCCCATTTTCAAGTATTCCCTCACCTAATGTTAATTAGTGGGTCTTCTGATTGTCTTAATTATTTCCTGATTATTCAAATACCTTTTAAAAAGTTTTATCTTCCAGGATTTTGAAGCAAATTTTTCTGAGCTACGCTGGAATTGTTCTTTGTAACAAACATCCAAGATTTATGTATCCAAGTGAATTTATTTCTTTAAGTAGCCACCTTGGGAGATTCTACATTGATTTGCTTATTTTTCAAAGCTCAAAATATTGAGACTCTTCTTATTGGAATGCTTTCATATTTAGTTGGTAAGCCATGCTATGGAATCCATCCTAATGTTAGTCGCCCATATTTCTTTACTCTACAACCTTTACTTGCATCCATCCACTTTATTCATCAAGCACAGAGAGGACTACAGTGCTAACACAAAAGGTAAAAAGAATGTGCCAGAGGAATTCCAACAGCAGTTAAAAAAAAAGTCCTGTTAGTAAATGGACCAGTTTTATCACTATAATCCAAAGAATATTTTGCCCACGATGTCTTTGAGGAATGAGACAGAGAGATTCAACAGAATAAGTAGGTAATCATTCTGGTATCCCCAATGAACTCAGATATTCAGTGAACTAGTTAAATAGAAGAGCACCTTGCAGATATTCAAGAGACTTGTCTGATCATTTCCTTAGGACAGTAAGCTATGATGAGAAATTGCTGGGACAATGAGCACATTTTTTTCAGATTTCGATACGTACTGACAAGGCCCTCCGGTACAGTTAATGCACGTTAATATTCTTAGCAACTTTGTAAGAGATTGTTGGCTTTCCTGTTTTCTTACCAAATGGATCATCACTGTCTACCATACCAACACATTACTATGGCAGTTCATTGTTTATTTGCTTTGTAATTGTTTTTCCTCTAAAGCAGCTGAATATCTTTGCATAAGGGTGATCATAATTGTATTTTATTGAAGTGAATGTTTAAAAATTGTTATTATTTCTGAAAAGGAACAAAAATTGCAAGATAAATACATTTTGAGAATTTAAAATTTCTACACTAAATAAGAAAGAGGGTTTAATAATAAAATTTTTATTCATAGCTGGTAATGTTAAGTTGATTAGAAGCTGAAATCAGACACAATCACTATTTAGAGAAATTTATCTTAGACATTGTAAAAAAATGTTAGCCTAATGAATGCCCTAGGCAATTGTATTTTATTGTAATGCTACAAATAATAGTAATAATTACAAATAAATGGATAACACTAATTGAGCACTCACTATGGACAAAGAAAAAGTGTTAGGAACTTGTACTCATTACTTACATCATTTATTTTTTACACAATTTCCAAATGAGATAGAAACTGTTACTGTCTGTACTTCTAAATATCTTTTTTTTTTTTTACTGAGTTACAACTTCATGTTTTGAAGAACATGCTGTTTTCTAGCATACATTTGTATAAACAGCACATATCTACACAGGGAGTGTCCACTATCCTAGGAGCTCTCTGAAGTCCCCAGTCAGCTGACACCCTCACCAATGGTCATCATCCTCTTCATCACAGACACTAATGTTACCTTGTTTCAAACTTCATGTAAATGGAGCCACACAACATGTTCTGTATCTGGCTTTTTCCATTCCTGGTAATGTTTGTAAGATTCATTTACACTGGGCCCGGCGCGGTGGCGCAAGTGGTTAAGGTCCTCGCCTAGCACGCCCGGGATCCCATATGGGCGCCGGTTCTAATCCCGGCAGCCCCGCTTCCCTTCCAGCTCCCTGCCTGTGGCCTGGGAAAGCAGTCGAGGACGGCCCAAGGCTTTGGGACCCTGCACCTGCGTGGGAGACCCGGAAGGGGCTCCTGGCTTGGGATCGGCATAGTATCGGCCCGTTGCGCTCACTTGGGGAGTGAATCATCGGATGGAGGATCTTCCTCTCTGTCTCTCCTCTCTGTATATCCGCCTTTCCAATGAGAAAATAATAAAAATAAATCTTTAAAAAAAAAAAAGATTCATTTACACTATTATTTATATTTTTTTCATTACTAGAGAGTATGTTATTATATGACTGTGACACAACTTATTTACATATTTTGCTAGTGATGAACATTTTAATGAACATTTTTAGGTCTGGGCTATTTTGAAAATGCTACCATGAACATTTTCATATATGTTTTTGGCAGACGAAGATACTCATTTAAATATATAAAACATATATATAAAACATATATAATATAATATAATATAATATAATATAATATAATATAATATAATATAATATAATAGTAGAATTGCTAGACCACGAGGTATTCACATATCTA